TAACCTGCACGTGGATCCAATTGAACGTTTTTGCAAAGTTCAGGGATTTGATTGATCTTTTTAAAAGTACGAGGACCTAATTGACTTTTCATGAAAGTATGAGGACCTTGACAGTTTTCCCTAGGGCTGGGACTTTGGAACCAAGAACCGGAGAACCGAACCGGACTGAACCGTTATGACCCGGTTCGGCTAGGTTCCAACATTTATTAGTTATTTGTTAACGGTTCGGTTCTTATTTTTTTATTAACGGTTCGGTTCTCGGTTCCTGAAAAAAATATCTACTAGGAATCGTTAAGGAACCGTTATATATAATAATTAAAATTATATATATTTCTTATAAGTAAATATATTTTAATGTATATTTACTTATTTATATTTATATTACATTCATTATGTTAGTTTAGTTATTTAAGTATTTAAAACTATTTGTTCAAAAAAAAAACTATTTAAAACTATTATTCACTTCAACCGGTTCTCTTAGGCTTCTTGGGCCTCTCATTAGGTCCAAACTCCATCGGGTCAGAACTCGGAATGTCCAAACTATTAAAATTATTATTCTCTTTAACTGGTTCGGCATATTTGTATTGTAATTTCAAACGTTGAATGTCTTTTTGGCAAAAATTTAGTCGTGATTTGTAAGAATTTTCCCAAGGACCAGGAACCGTTAATTGACAAGAACTGAACCGTTAAGAACGGTTCGGTTCCTTATCGGTTCTATAAAATAATTTATAAGAACCGAACCGTTAGTAAAATTTCATATTTTCAAACGGTTCCCCATATTTTGCCTAGGAACCGAACCGGTCCCAGGCCTAGTTTTCCCATCAATTTAATATTTACCTAAAAATGTCACTAGGTAAATATATGTGGAAATTAAGCGTAATAATCTCAAAAATAAATAAACAAGAGATATTTATGTAGCGTAATTATTTCATAATCAATTAACTGGTATTAAATTGATATATTTACCTGCGTGGGACTTCATAAATTGAGCGTAATAATCTTATAATCTAATACTCCGTATGTCAACATCTCAAAAATAAAAAAGAATGCTCAATATAAAACGCAGGAGTAGGTTTTATGTTATTTTCAAGTTCGTTCTTTCTTAGTTTCTTACTCTAATCCAAATGGTGTTTATCGAGGCATTGCCGTTATTGGAAAAGAACCACAAATACTTTTGAGTTCTACATATATGAAGGACCAGTCTCAGGACTGATACTTTTGGGTTAGTCTGGATTTTTAAGAGCTACGGACATGTATTATATTCTTGTCCACGTTTGAATATAGTGGAGTTGAGAGTGAAAAAAAACGTGCTTTTGAAATATTGTGTGATTTTGTGACTATAAAGTATAAACGTTACTTTCTGATCTGGAACAAGGTGGGAGTGTAATAATATGGTTTATATTTATAACTCGTTATTGTGAAATATTTGTGACAACAAACGTTACTCATATGATCATATATGTCATTTGTTATAGACGGCATTTTATATCAGGACATTCTGACCGAAACCGCCGTGCGGAATTCACTGTTTGGGTGGTTCCCGATGATTTTTTTTGATGAATTTGTTTGAGCATGTTCTTCATCAAGTCTAGTTTATGTCCACTAAATTTCAGCTTAAAATTAAAACGGGAAGGTAGTTAACTAAATTATTGATCAACACTGCGCTTTTATATGTATAGTTTTGCGCAGTATCTTTCAACAAATTCGTTAACTACCTTACCGGTTGAATTTCAAGATGAAATTTTGTGGGCATAAACTAGAATTGATGAAGAACATGTTAAAAAAATTCATCAAAAAATTCCACCGCAAACCAGCCTAAATAGTGAGTTTCGCACGCCGGCTCCGGTCAGGAGCCCCTGACTTGAACGGGACTCATATTTGTTATATATCATACTTTTAAACACTGATTACTGTATATTTATATTTATGTAGCTGCAATAAGAAGTAGCCTAGTCCTGTAGTAGTATTCCAAGAGTGGAATCACCAAGAGATAAAAAGATGGTTCCAACTTGATGAATTAGCTCAGTACATACGGAGACACAAACCATGGAGTAGTACTAGTGTAGTAGTTTATACCACTACTTCGTATTATAGATGTATTGAAGTTTGGTGACTAATTCAATATATATTGTCAACGCGAAAAAAGTGCAATATAGAAACTTGATAGTGCATCGACTAGGGTGAAAGTCTGACATTTATTTGATCCTGAATATATATAGGCATATAGCGGGGGTAGAACCAAGTAGGGTCAGCGTCGGGGTGGATTCGGGTCGGGCCACCCGGCCCGTGGACCGGCCCGGCCCACTACTGTGCGGGACCGGGACCGGCCTGGTTCTCGGGTCCGGGTCCGGGTCAGGCCTAGGCCCGGGAGCGGGTCCGGGCTCGGGTCTTACATTTGGCGAACCGGCCCGGCCCGGCCCGGTCGGGCCCGGGTCCGGGCCAAAATGATTTTTTTTTTTTCATTTTTTGGGGTTCCACCCGGGTTGGGCTTGATGGTTATGAGGGGTTTGGGGGGTTTGGGGGGTGGGGTGTGGGGGGTTTAGGAAAGCAAAAAAAAAAAAAACGGAGGCCTGGCCCGGACCGGACCCGGTGGCTACCCGGTCCGGTCTCGGGTCCACCAATTCTGAACCGTCGGCCCGCCCGGGCCTAGACCCGACCCGGACCCGGCCCGGCCCGAGTCCAAGCGTCAGTGTGGTCATTCAAACCCTCAAAATTCATTCCAACAAGTTGAGTATTTAAATAAATTTCATTTGATGCATTATAGGCTATGTAACTCATTCTAAATCAAAAGTTGTGGCTTCTGGAACACTATCTTGTAAATTTTGAAATTAGTTATGTTTTACTTTTGAAGAACATTAGTAATATTCTAATTTTGAGTGTATACGAGTACAATATATATATATATATATATATATATATATATATATATATATATATATATATATATATATATATAGAATAGAGATCAAATACAAAGCCTTCTTAATTTACAAAGTACAAACTCATCTTGACCGTTCGATAAGTTGATCCAAAGGACATAAAGGCAAGGTGGCATTTTTGTAATAAAACTCAACTTTTTAGGGTGCAACTCGTTGCACCTTAATGTGCAACTGCTATTTTTATGATTTTATAATGTGCAATACTTTGAACCTCAATATGCAATGCAAATAACGTCAAGGTGCATCGGACAAATATTTGCACAATAAGCACACTTTGTACTTGATCTTTCCCCTATATATATATATATATATATATATATATATATATATATATATATAGAGAGAGAGAGAGAGAGAGAGAGAGAGAGAGAGCTCTTCTCATCAGGCCGGCCTGACGGGCTGCCCCGTCCGGCCGAGCCAGTTTGGGCACCTTCCCGGTGGAATTTTTTGATGAAATTTTTTGAGCATGTTCCTCATCAAGTCTAGTTTGTCCATACCAAATTTCAGATCAAAATTCGATCGGGAAGGTCGTCAAATGATTTTTGCAAGTTAACTGGTCCGGAATATGTATTTTCCGGACCAGTTAACTTGCAAAAATCATTTCACGACCTTCCCGATCGAATTTTGATCTGAAATTTGGTATGGACAAACTAGACTTGATGAGGAACATGCTAAAAAAAATTCATCAAAAAATTCCACCGGTAAGGTGCCCAAACGGGCTCGGCCGGACGGGGCATCCCGTCAGGCCGGCCTGATGAGATGATTTCTCTATATATATATATACTAGAGAATTAAGCACACGAGATTCATTTCCCTAACTTATTATGAGCACACTTTGATATTAAAAGGGCTTATATTATTACCTAATACACCGTACTTTTTACACACATCAAATCAATAAATTTTCTTCATCTAACGCTAAACGATTCTTTTGACATGATATTTCAAATTTCACTTGGTTCCGTTCATTGTTTTGCGCGTTTATATTTTAAACGTTACAGAATTCTGATTTGTCTTATTAGATAACATTTTCATTTGATCTAGAGTAGGGTTGTTAACGAACTCGGTTTTGAACCTAAGGAGACAAGCTTAACAAGCTTCAACCTCGAATACGAAATGAGTTTTAAGTTCGAATGCTTAATCAAGCTGAGTAGTATTTGGCTCGTTTCGAGCTCGAGCTTATTGAACACCCTAATTATAGGTGTGGGTTATATATATGTCAAAATTTAAATGTAACCAATATGGTTTTATAAATTTAAATATGAGCACATATATCAAGTACTTATCCAAAAATTCGAGCACATACATGTTAATGAGCATAACCTTAACTATTACATTCGAACGAATTCTTCAAGCTTATCAGGTGCTAGATTCGAACATTGAATATCTATCGATCCGAGCACGAGCATCATTTGTTAAGCTCGCCAAGCTTCAAGCTCGAACCTGAATACCACTATTAACGAATGGAGCGAAACTTGAGCTCTGCATGTTTGGCCTCAACTCGGCTCATTAACACTACATAGTGTGTCTAATTTTTTTGGTCCGGTTACAGCTTGAATATATTGAACCCGAATCAAGGACTGAAATTGCGGGTTCAAGTTGAATACTATACATAGTATATGAGTTGGGTCAGGGCAGGGTGCCGGGTTTCAGGTCACTATATTGACGCTTAACATTATATGGAGTATGATTATACAGGTAACTAGTCTTTAACTTTTTAACTCTTCCATATTGACATGTAAAATCAGTAGCAAGCTACTGAGCTCATATATGATACATATATATTACTCAGTATTCATATAGTATTATATTACTCAGTATTCATATACTCCGTATATTATATTACTCAGATATGTTATTAATTACTGCTAGCGCCTAGCGGTAAACATACTTGAATTGATTCTGAGCAAGCTAATTGACACTACTTTATATGGCATGAATATATTACTATATCTAGTACTGTATTACATCTTTCTTGAGTAAAAGCTAGTACTCCGTATAATACAAGTATCTCTTAATCTGAATAAAAGTTAATTCAGTATAAATTAGCCTTTTGTTAGCCTCTCATTATATGCCTTATTATGTACTGCTAGTTCTCTCTTTTCTTTGTCTTTCAAACATTAAATCATTTCTCCTTAACTTGTCATTCTTCTTAATCTTCTTCTTCCACAGTGTTTCATAACTCAGCTCCTAATTAACATACTTAGTATATGGCTACTACAGTAATCTTATCTATTTTTGTAATAATGTTAGTAGTACTAGTGCCATCACAACCTTCTTCGGTCGTGTCCGAATTCAATATTTATCACCGGCACTCTGACAAGGTCACCAGTGTGTTAGGCGGAATAGGGTTGCCCAAACAAGGCACGGTGGAGTACTACTCTGCCTGGAAAGCTCATGATCAATACCGCCAGCGACTCTATACAGCACGTTATGTACCTGCACTGACATTTGCTGGGGGAATGTCACCACATTAATAGAAAATTTAGCAAAGTAAGTTTAGCTCATAAAATTCCTCACTTGCCAGCTCTTCCACGAGTAGAGTTTCTTAAACTGTTATATTAACCCTATTAACAGCTGCTCTCTTGGTATTTCTATCTCTGCTGGCCTCTCTTCATCCTCATGTTTTAACCCAGCTCATAACAGCTTCAGATGTTGCCTTGATTCGACTTAACCAATAAAAGAAATAAAGAAAACAGACATAATTTTTCCAAATTGTCATTATCTATTATATTCCCATGTACCACAATTATGAATAATTTGGTGTCACACATTTTTAGTTTGTATTATGCCCAATTACGTGTTGGGACTCCTCCCATTTCATTTATGGTTGCACTTGACATGGGTAGTGATATATCCTGGTTGCCATGCGGCTGCACGGACTGCGCACACTTCTATGAGACAGACAAGGGACAAGTAAGAAAAAAGTTCTATAGCTACATATATTTGTGAGTATATTTATATTTATATTTCAGATCCTAATCCAATTCAACAGGGATTTTGAAGTCCCTGGTCACTATTTCTACATTGCCAGTCAAAAAAAGTTACTAGGAAAATGTTCTAATCTTTGCATCTCCTTTTACCCTCAAACAGATAAAAATTCTCAATTCTTACAGCCCTAAGTCATCATCCACGAGTGCAATTGTTTCTTGTGACAGCCCCGAATGCTGGCCGAAGAAACAATGCCCGCGTCGGTCAGAAAAGGCATGCCCATACAAAGTTGACTATATGTCAGATAACACTTCGACTGAGGGCATCCTTGTTAAGGATGTTCTGCACTTGGAAACTTATGACAAGAAACACCGGGCTAGTGCTGTACCAGTTATATTTGGGTGCGTATGAATTATAACTATTTTTATTAAATGTATACTTTTATTTCTTTTTAATGACCATAAATTATATGTTCCTTCCTTTTCAGGTGTGGAGTGGTTGAAACAGGAACCTTTTTGGAGAAGGGTGCATTAAATGGTTTACTAGGCCTGGGGTTTAATACACATTTGGATGTGCCAAGCATGTTAGCATCCAAAGGGTTGGTACCCAACTCGTTTTCCCTATGTTTTGCCTTTGATGGCAATGGCAGAATAGCATTTGGAGACAAGGGTAGCAGTGCCCACATGAAAACACCACTGGACAAGGACCAGTAAGTTATAGTTCAAATATATTTTCTTAATATATTTACTACATACCTAGTGACTACAGTTATTGTGCTCATATTGATTATTTAACTTTGCATTAAGAACCTATGAATTGAAGTTAATTCCTCAAACAATAATTATTTCTCCAGAGAATTTCATGAGGGGTTACCATCTTGTATTTGATCGTGAAAACTTAGTTTTGGGATGGAAACCTTCAGACTGTAAGTTACACTTCTCCTAATCCCCAACTCACATTTTCTCTACATAAGACAAATTAGTAATCCTAGTGCAAGGCTACCACTATTTTAGTTGAGAATTGAAATAAGGATTGAGTGTTCTTCAATTTTCAGGTAAAGCTAAAGAAGCGAACACTACTGCGTCTAGTGAAACACTGCTACCAACAATGGAGGGCATAGTGTTGTTCTTTTTAGTTTCTTTTTCCATTACCCATATTATGTAATCATTCTTAAACACAATTACACGAGCTAATTTAAATGATTCATTCGAGGTAGATAGCCAAAATAATGTGCAAATGTACAAATGTGCAGCAAAGGGTAAATGGAATGATAGAAATACCTTAATCCATAGCCAGTTTGTCCCTGAGAGTACCTTGAGGAGGGGTTAATAAGAAACAGACTCGTATATACTATATATCACACTCTGCTCATTCTACCTGCGAATACAAATCTGATTTGCATTCATATTTATATTCTATATTTTCAAATTCAAATAATAATTTATGAATCCAAATCACAAATCGAATTAAAATTATTTGTTCGTTTGTAACCCTTACTCATGATACTTCTGAGCCATTACAAATTGGCTTGGAATGTGTATACGTAAATGTATATATAAGCTACACTTTGAGGGTATATATAACCAGCTTTTCAAAGTTATTATAATGTTACTACTACTATTATTACTATTATTATTAATATTATCACTATTATTAAATGAATATATTTGATTAATATTCGAATCGAATATACTGATATTCGTATTTGTATTTGATGAGAATTCGAATCAAATTTAGTATTCTTATTTGTATTTGTATTTTTCGAATTCGAATCGTCCTATACGAATTCGAATCCCGAATCGAGTATAAATTATTTGATTCGTATACAACCCTAGTGCGGATCAATCGGTATAATTTCTCCTGTTAGGCCATGGCTGCCAATTGAAATTTAGATGTGGGTTCTTTTTTTTTTTTTTGAAAATCAAATAACCAATATATTAATAAAAAAGATATATACAAGAGAACGAATAGCATAAGGCTATAATGGGATGAGACATAAAACGGAAATGATTCAATGAATCCTTCCAGATCGCTAATCCCGCAATAATGTAGTCTAGTCTAACAGCGTTGCTGCTCTTCTTGCTACTCCAAATAGAAAATAAAAAATTGCAACTACGAGATCCGACTTCACCAGCCACCGGAAAGGGAGAATTGGTCTGACCATCAACCAACAAAGTAAATTCAATTGAGCAGAAACTGCTTGGATCATCAGTTTGATGAGCCACCGAAAAGGAGATCTTGTTGAGCGCTATCTTTTTCTTCAAGTAAGGCGGTGGTTCAGGAGGAGGGCGAGTAATTGGAGCTTCAGAATAAACGTGTCTTGTCAACCATGAATAATGAACCGATTACACCGATGAGGAAGACATACACAACCTCCAGACATTGCTAGGAGAAGAACAAAATACACGCTCACATGAAGCGGACATAACTCTTGGCCAAATAAGATGCTGGCCCAAAACCACAACCCCATCTCAGAAATTTCGGGTGTTCGTCCTTCCTAATTGCTGGAATTGAATGCTGGGAAACTTCGTGAGTTTATCAATATAAGAATTAGATTGAATCGGTATATCATCCAGTATTGAAACAAACTGTGTTGATGGCTAAATCGGCACTCCTTGAACAAATCTTGCTTCTAGGCTTTGAGTGCGGCGCACTCCTTTCAAATTTACATTCACTCTTCATCCAATAACTTGCTGCCACATGGTAATTTTTTTTTATAAAATGCTACTCCCTTCATCCTGAAATAATCGTTCTGGTTTGACTTTCACACAGATTAAGAAAATGAATTTGACTGCACACTGTTTGGCACTGTAGCGTCACTGTTTGGCACTGTAACGACACTGTTTGGCACTGTAACGACACTGTTTGGCACTGTAGCGGCATTGTTTGGCATAGTTTTGCACTGTATGACACTGTTTGGTATAGATTTGTTTACCAAATAAGGAAGTTAAAGAAACGAGCCAATTTTTTCGGGACGGACCGAATTGAAAGGAAAGCGAGACATTTATTTCGGGACCAATTTTTAAACGTAATGCTCATTACGTGTAAGATAGAATACCCGATTGTACAATATAGGCTCTCACGTGTAAGAGGACGTGTACACGAAGTAAAATTCTTTTCAAAAATGTTTTCTGAAATGTTTTCACAACGATCCATGATGAAATGAATTTTGAGAAGTACTTTTAACAACGATCCATAATTCAATGAATTTTCATAAGTTCACGAGTTTTGTTTGAGCATTGACATATGTTTCTTCAATTTCAATAATCCGGCTTTTATATTCAGCTGAGTGCATTTTTTTATAAACTAGTCAATCCACCCGTGCATTGTCCGGATAATAGATGAAATTAAATTATTTTTTGGAAATAATTTATATCATGAGTAATGCGTATATACATACTTATCATATAAAAATTAGAACATGATGTAAAGTTATATTAGATTCCATCTATGGTAATTGTTAGAGATACACTAATTAGTATATAATTACAAAATAAACATTCATTCATCCTCAACTTATTTTGTCTGATGAAGATGATAACAAATTCATCCTCAACTTATTTTGTCTAATGAAGATGATAACAATTACTATCAAATTGCAATCTTAGTACTCCCTCCGTCCCAAAATTATCTTCATAGTTACTATTCACATGGTCAACTCAAATTACTCTTAATCTTTTACTTTATATATCAAATTTTTATCAAACTTAAATTTTCTTGATCAGACTTTGTAGCGGTTTTAATGTAGTTTCTGAATATGTAAATTTTATTTACTAAAAATAATCCGAGTGTGAACAGGGATCGAGTTGCTTTATCGTCAGTCAAGCATCGTAAACCGAACTATGAAGATAAATATGGGACGGAGGTAGTATCATTTAGTGATGATTATGATGGTCTTTCTATTCATTACTTTCTACTATCTTTCGAGTACTTGACACATGAAATTGTTATGAAAAAATATTTTACTTCTTAGGAATAATAAAATGCATGTGTCACCTTGAAAAACGTTGTCCTCTAAAGTTTATAAACATTTTCCATCTAGAACTGAAAATATGTCTTCTATAATTTTTCTATTCATCCATCTCACCATATGTGTTATAAAAACTAGGGAAAACTGTCAAATAGGTCCTCGAACTTTCATAAAAAAGTCATTTAAGTCCGAGACTCTGTCCGTTCGTCGCGATTTGGGGCGGTTCTCGGTGGAATTTTTTGATGAAATTTTTTGAGCATCTTATTCATCAAGTCTAGTTTACTCATACCAAATTTCAGCTAAAAATTTAATCGGGAGCGCATTCAAATTAATTCGTGAATGCAAAAATGCGCAGTTATCTTCAAGAATTAATTTGAATGTGTTCCCGATTGAATTTTTAGCTGAAATTTGGTATGAGTAAACTAGACTTGGAGAATAAGATGCTCAAAAAATTTCACCGGGAACTGCACCAAATCGCGACGGCAAGACAGAATCTCTTATAGAAGGACTTAATTGACCTTTTTATAAAAGTTCGAGAACCTATTTGACAGTTTTCTCTAAAAACTAATGGATACAAAGTAAATTGAGTACAAATCGTGAAGTTAAAACCTATTCAGATAATAAAGATTCAACATATATTACTAACTTTATTTATCAGAATATCAGAAACAAGCCTAGTCATATTATTACTTAAGATGTGAATCTATATTTTTTTTCATGTTCATTTAAGTATGTATTTGAGTTATAAATATTTTTACTACGGAGTATAACAAATGTTCTTAATAATTGCATTATCAAAATTTCGCACAAAAATGTTATAAACAAATGGAAAGACTGTCAAATAAGTCCACCTACTTTTAACAAAAGGTCAATTGAGTCAATGTACTTTTTTCGAGTCAATCAAGTCCGTCAACTGTCAATAAGCGACCAAAGCAGCTATTCAACCGGTCATTCGGTTATTTGACGTCGCAGCTGGCAATTTTGTACTATTTTTCCATTTTTTTAATTTTCTTTTCCTTTTTCATTTTTCGTTTCTCTCTTCCTTTTTTCTCTTTTATTCTCTTTCTTCTTTCTTCCTGATCCGCCGCTCTTCTCCTCCCAGTCCGCATCCCCCGTTTGATGCTTTCTTCCATTTTCGTTGCCTCCACCTCCCAATGGAATGAATTGCGCCGCTCTGGCCTCTCTAGCCATTACCTCCGCCGGCAGGCCTCCACAGCCGCCTCCAAAGTCCGGCCTCTACCTTCACCTCAACCGCCCCTTCCGCCATACAAACGTCCTCCGGCCACCACCTCCATCCCTTCGTCTCCTCCAATGAAACGAACTCCAGCCGCGCTGACTTCCGTAGCAACCACCTCAGCTGCCCTTACCACCATACTGTAGGATTCTTCCACCTTCTTTCTTGGAAGTTGCCAAGAGGCATCTCACACCTTCTAGGAAGGAGCTATCCAACAAATGAACATGGAAAGAGATTTCTTGGAGATAGCTAGGAAACTCCATAGCAATGGGAATGGAAGCTTGGATGCAACTTCCTCATGTCTCCCATATACACCTATAAATAGGGAGTGCATTGTTGTTCATTAGTATCAGTTTAGAAAGTGAGAAAAGTGTGTGAAGAGTGAAATACACTTAGAGTAGAAGTGTATTGGTGAGGATTGGTTTTTTGTAATAGTTGAGTGTGAGAGTTTGCTCCTCCTATTGTAATTCTGTTCTTGATATTGAATAGAAGAATTTTCCAATCCCAACAAGTGGTATCAGAGCGAGGTTGAGTTTTCATACACTGTTTTCTCATTTTCAGATAAATTTCTACAGGTTAGAAAATCGTGATTTTTCAAGTTGCTCGGAATCACGATCTGATCATACCGTTAGATTCGTCTCGTCGAGACGAGAAATCTGGTATTTTTGGGGAATTTTTTGGCCACCGGAAGAGGCCGTACGCGCCGCCCAAACGCGCCGGAAAACTGCCTGCGTCATCATTGCGTCATCACGCAGTCCAGAGGAAGAAGACGAGCCACGTCAGCGCCACGTTAGCCGCCACGCCAGTCCACGTAAGCGCCACGTCATCTGCCACGTCAGCCGTGCAAGCCATCCTCTGGGTGCCACGTCAGCGCCACGTCAGTGACACGTGGCGCCACGTCAGCGCCAGCGCAGAGCCAGCTGTTGCCACGTCATCCGCCTGCTGGTCTGCTCACTGGGCTGCTGCCTGAACCGGACCGAACCGGTTCGTACTTGTGGAGGCCGGTTCACCCATTTTCAGACCGGTTTTGGACGAGGTCAGACCGGGTTCCTACCATTTTCGGCCATTCCGGATCCAACGGTGAGCTCCGTTTGTCCAAATTCGGCTCCGAAAATAAGGTACGAGATCTTTTGAGCGTTTTTATTATGGATAAATCATCATCGGA